AGTTTTAAAATGACAAAATCCATCCTTTTTATCAGTGTAGGTTTTTGACAACAGTAATTGGGAGTGATTAAATCTGTTATGTATAAAACTAGATATTGGACAGAATCTATTTCTTGAACAAAACACCGTCAAATACTGGCTGTTTATTTTTCTACTAGAAATTTAGAAAATTTTAGAAATCGTTTTGCATTATTATGATAAATATATTTATTAATAAATCGTATGAGGCTTGTGAGAAGCCATTCTGACAACAAATTTCAAATGGTGTTATTTAACATCAGATTCCCCATCTTTAATTGTTTATACCTGAATGTAAACTATGTATATACACATAATTGTGAAACCAGAAAGGACAGTTGTCATGCATCTTGTTAATGGAAAGGATATGGATATTTTGTTAAAATCTTACATTGTGATATAACAACCAGGCTTTAAGAGGTTACTAAAGTTTGTTGACTAAGTATTCAAAGTGACCACTTAGCCAAGTAATTCACAATCTCCTGTTTCAGTGGTTATTTTAGAAAAATATTTTTGACAGAAAGCTTTTAACCTAAGTCACATAGTCACGTGATCTGCCATCAGTTGGAAATACAGTCTTACAAAACTGTTTAAAAATATCTACGTTGACCCACTATTTTCCTACCTGTGAAGCGAGAAGATAGAAAAATGTTTGACTGATGAGAAAAGTCTAGAAGATCTGGAGTTAGCGAACAATTTAAGACTAATATCATAGAGACTGAAAGACCAGAATAAGAAAACCAACAATTTATCAGAAGAATCGGAGAAGGCACGATTTTAAGTGAACACTGAGAAGACGGAGGTGGTGGAGTTAACCAGTCAACCCACCAACAATAACAAGTACCAGTCACTATCGATGGGAGAAATTTGAACGCGTTTACTTCCCCCATATATCTTGGAAGCATCCTTTCAACGATAGGTACGCAGAATGGATGAGGATGTTAAAATCAGAATCGGAAAGGTCAGACAGTTCTTAATCACTGTGAAATCAGTCTGGGAATCTTCTTCACTCAGCAAAAAAGAACGAAATTTGGATTTTCAACAGCTATGTTAAATCAGTCAGTTCGTCTGCATGAATTAGAAACTTGACTCACGCTTTACGGAATCATTTCAAACAGCCTGTTTTAAACTTCTATCAACAGCTGCCTTCTCTTCCTACTTAAGGTCATATATCTAGCCAGAAAGAATTAGCAGCAAGGTGACTTTGGGAATGAACCGATCAAGAACCGATCGCTCGAAAATTTTCCCGAATAAAGTGGGGATGGACCGAGCAGATGTTGAGGAGACTATTGAGTGGCATCTAGCATCAGGCAGAACTCTGAGTGTAACCCTAATGTGAAACGACGAGTTGGACTTGAGTGCGAGGGTGACAGGGTACAGAAATGAAAGCTTTTGAACGACTGTAGAGCCAGATAAATGGGTATTCTGAGAAGAGGACAAAGGAGAGATGTGTGGCTGAAGCCTTATGCCTCACTCAGAACTAAATAGAATAATAAAAGGAATAATTATAATACACTAAACTACTGGTTCACCATGACAGTACACGAAGCTGGGAAGAAACGGTTCAGAGTCATAGTGATTTAGTTGCCTTACGCCATCATAAAACTTTGCTTTAAGTGTCAACTAGTTTGGAATGAATAATTAGCTAACACAATTTCTCGACAAAATATATCTTGTAACAGATCAAGTATACCTATTATACTATTAACGGCTTTATTCTTGAGAATATGTTAACAAATAGTTCAATGTCTTACCTCATTTAAAATGCTAAATATTTACTCTTTGTACAGAATCTTCAAGTAAAATACTATTCAGCACTTTATCGTATGACGCTGTGTTGTTCCCCCTGAAATAATATCCAATTCTTTTTAATATTTCCACTCACTGTCCCTGAGATGAGTTTTGTATTAAACGGCTGATTAATTAACAAAGAATATTCATTTTGGTCATCAGTTTCTGCATTTATTTGGCCGTATTCATTAAAGATATATTGTTATTAACAACAATAACAAACACCAAAAGAAAAATCAAAAATGCCACGCGGGAATTCCTAGAAGCCTCGTACTCAAGTGAATCAGCCGGCAATTAACAAAGATATTATTACAAACCATTTTTAACAGATAGTAAAAAGTTGATCACAGGACAAGAAAGGTTGAATTCCAAGTCAATTAAAATGATCAACAGATACGTTAATTAACAACCAGTCACTACAATGGTTGTCAGGAGATACAGTTGCATAATTCATGGAGAATTCGAATGAATTAATTTTATGCTAAAACCCGTGCTGAAGATGTTGTCTAGAAGGACGACGAAAGCTTCACAGTTAAATCAACCAGCTCAGAGAGCACAATTTACTCAATTGTTATTAACAACATTAATGTTTCAAATTACACAGGATAAATAGTAGTGAAAGACTACATTTCAAAAGCATCATTAGATGAGACTGCATTAATATAACACTAAACTGAATATGAGATAAATGATGGGAAGGAACACAGAATTTATGAATTTCTGGATTCGACAGCAGGTCATGGTAGCAGCAGTGGCTTGACTTGCTTCTTTTGCATGTAGAGATCAGGTTGATTTAAGCGAATAGCAATGACATTTTGTTTCTGCAGTGTTTGGTAATTCATTTGCTACCTAATAGATAATAGAAAAAGACTCTTCAGTGTTATCTTTGTGACCTATTTGGACGAGGTGATCCAATATGGAACTGTTGATGGTTTTAACAACACCTTTATTTAACCACTCTGGTAGGTGTTCTTAAACATGAGAGATTAAGTTCTTGGATCAGTGGTCAATATAATTGGCTTCACAGGAGCAGATTAAAATATTTTGTATTACTTTGAAATCCCTCTTAAAAGGTACACGGTTTCATGTAGCAATCTAAAATCATAATTAGATGATTAAAAAAGGTACGAAGAATAGAGAAGAGCTTATACATCATACTAGATGGAAATTCGGGTAGCCCAGTGATTTAAGCAGGCCGATAAATAACAATGAAACTACGAAAGGAAATCTAAATAATAATTACTTATAAACAAGAGCTAATCATCACGTTTTTTTAACCCATCAACTCCAGAAAACTTATAAAAACCAAATAAGAGAATATTTTTAAAGGAAGAATTAAAAAATTAGTGCAGGATAAGTCGCATAATGAATTCCGTCCACTTGAAAGACACCACAAATAAACTGAATAAACTGTGATTTTGTGTTTAAAATGTAACTATAATGACATAAAATCATTTCTGAAAAGGTAGGTATAAACACTATTTTATTACTGCTAACATTGTCTCCATTTAATCTCTGAATTTTGTATGTGAAACGACTCACCTATTTCAAAGTAGACTTCATCGGAAACCAGCACCAGTTGGGAAATCAATGGAAATCAGAATGCTATAGACAGTTGTTTCTTCGTAGATTGCAACTTTTGACAACTAGGCATCCCTGTCTGTCTGTCTGTCTTTGACATAGAACTTTGCACAAATGTGCGGAAGTTCAAGTCGCCACATTCCGTGTAGCACGCGAAGCAAGAGAAGAAAGTACAAGAAAAGCATAATAGAAACACTGAGCAGAGGTGTGAGACAAAGGAGTAATAAAGAAATACAAAACAGTTTCATTGAAGATCATAAGTCACAAGGAGTGGATGCATCTGCGCCACTGAGAAAGATTTTGAGCCATGTCACCAATTGTTTCCAACCATAGATTTTTACCGTCCCGAGGACCCCAACCAGGAAGCCAGTCTACACCTTCCTACGTGGTTTAGACCAACTGTTGTGGATTTCATTGACTGATGCCAAGTTTTTGTTTGACCGCCGCTAGCTTTTTTCCAGCCTGACCCTATATCCGCTAACATTGCTCGTCGAGGGAGGCGATGGCTTGGCATACGTAACACATGTCCTAACCATCTCAGTCGATGTAGCTTCACGACTTCGTCGATTGATTTCCCCTGTTTACCTAGAACTCTACGCCTAACCTCAATGTTGCTCACCTTATTATGCCACTTTACACGGAAAATAGAACGCAGGCACCTATGATCAAAGACAGCTAGTCTTTTCATGTCTTCCACTCTCAGTGGCCAGGTCTCACAACCATAAAGGAGGACGGAGCGGACTGATGAGCAGTACACCCGCCCTTTGGCATCCCACTAGGGATCTAGCTGATGACCTCTAACTAATAATAGAACCGCGTTATAATTCACTCACAAGATCTACAGTAATCATTAATTAATCGATGTAAGACTCATATCACTGAATTCTATTCTACACGAATTTTCAACAGAATTTTAGAAAATCCATTCATGCCGAGGGGTAGATTAGTTTTAAATGTAAAATTTGTGAAAAAACGCTAGATTTCAAGGTTACTGGGTTCACACAAATTGTTGAACACAAACATTTTCGCGTCTTAAACTGAGTGTCTTGAGTTTGATTTCAGATGGGCGTACGGCTAAGCACTTAGGCGAAGCTCTTAACTGGCACGAAAAAGCTGTTTATTTATTCCTCGGTTGCAGTTGTTATTATTAATCATGCCTTGCGGTTCGATTTGGAATATAATGCTTCAGCGTCACATCTAATACAGAACTTAGTTCTTGCCTACCATTTTCAGCTGACTCCGCGTCTGCTGATGACGAAGTTTATCCTGAAATCGATTCGGTCTTCATATATATAGTATCTCTTTCCAATAACCAATTAAATATTTTCAAAGTTTCAGCTGTAATTCATGTTTTCTCATGCAATATAATACAAAAAATAGAAACAAAGTTTTTACCATATCGAATATATCACACTCATTAGCATCCAATATATGACAAATTACTCTAGACAGAAAATCTAATAAATTATCAATGTTCCAATCCACCGCTTTAACCTCTGTGCCACCGACGCACAATATTTGATATTTTACGACAACCTTTTTCTAAATATTCTCATGTGATAATAAGCTTCAAACCTCCTTTTTTCTCTCTTACAAAAACAACTGTTTAGGTAAGATCAATTGATGAACTACTAAATCTTATTCACCATCGATCTGGAAGTGGATTAAAACGCATTGAACTATCGAGTGATTTAGTGACTATACCTGTTTTAGAAGAATTGGGCAATCGATGTCCTAATCTACGTTATTTAACTTTAGATTTTAGTAATGCTATGCAACTACATGATTTCAATGAGTTAGCTGCATTTCCTTCATCGATTAAATACTTATGCATTTGTTTAAGTGATGTTATATTTATGGAGGGATTAATGAGAAAAATTTATCCTTGTCTGTCAGCAGTTGAAGTTTTACATTTGATTGGTAAGTTCATATTCAGTCTACTCTCTTGTATGTTTACAATTTATGACTTATTTTATGCATCATGGTAATTATTAGCAGTGTTATCCAAAGAAGTTTTGACTTGAAATTTTACGCTTCAGTTGAAGAAGAATTTCAGTATTCCAGCCTGACGTGATTGTTAGGGCAGAATGACTCAATAACTTGTGTGTTAAGTGAGGTTACACTGTTTATTTGAGTACGGAATCATTTTTTTAAACATATGTGAGCAATTCCCATTCAGATAAACTTTAACGAATACAAAACACCTAGTTCAGCCAGCAAGCTCTTTACTGCCGATTTATTTTATTTAGCTGTACAACAACATCTATATGCAGTTGTTCACGAAAGAGGATAGCAACAAAGGTGATGAATTTTCATAAGAGGAGTTGTGTTCGTTATGGTTATGTAATAAGGAAATAATTAAATGGGTGAGTTGTAATCAGGATGTATATAGGAGTGCAGAAAAACGTGATTTAACGAAGGGCCTCAAAAGAAATACAAGAGTTAAAAGAAAACAGACAAACAGTAGAAAACAATAAGACTGTCACCATTATAACAGAAGTGTTTGAATAATTTAGTCTTGTATGCAGATCTCCAGTCTCTGTATTCGAATAACTAGAGCTTCAGCAATAAAAAGGAGGTGAAAACGTATTGTCTTTGAGAGGGTGTTCTTTACTTTGTAAATTACTTTGAAGGATGAATTTGTTGAGATAGAATGACCAGTGCTGACAAGGTGTTCAATGACTGCATCGCATTTAGAGACACTTCTGCCTTTCTGAAACCATGTGGAATAGTATTTGTGAACCTTTTTAGACAGGATTTGCTGTCGAACAACCAATATATACTTATGAACTGACTTTTTTCCAAGATTTCACTGGGTCTTCTTTTGAGTTCCACATCAAAAAGGGAATTTTAGCATCGTTTCATAGACCTGCTCGGAATGGCCAACTAACCAGTTTCTACAGTTGGGTGCTTGTTGAACTAAAACAAAATTTGATTAAATACCTTCCCACTCGCATCTGTAGACACATCTGTAGTCCTGACACCCTAGAAGCGAAACTAGATCTCTGGAAAGGAATCTTCATCCAACCTGGATACCCACCTAGATTCATTGCCAAGAATATCAAACCTAAAATTCAGAGTAAAGAAACACTACTCCTATTTCCTTCGTTTCTATCTGTATACTGATTACAACTCACTCATTAAATTATTCATCTAATTGCATAACTCTAATACACTTACTCAACTCCTCTTACGCACTGATCAGTATTAGCAACTACGATTATTGACAACTCATCACTTTTATTACTACCCTCATTGACGGAAACATTGTATATAAATATGGTTGTCTGGCTAAAGAAAATGAATCGGCCGTAAAGAGCTTGTTAGTTGAACCACGTAATTTGTTTTCGTTATTATATGTAAGCCACATTCAGATACACAGAATTATTTCTAAACGTTTATTCGAATATGCACGTAATGACTGAAGCCTAAGTAATTCGGTCTGAACGCAGGAAAACAACAGTTGAGTTCTTCTACATGACTTGTCAATCTTTTGCAAGTTACACACAGCTTAAATTTACATTCCAACAATATTAAAAACGCACTTTAATATGATCAAATCTGTGGTACTATCTAACAATGATAAACTACATAGGGAATACAAAACTTCATCAACACAGTCGTCCCACAGTAATACAGTCCAAATATTTTTCAAGTACAAAGTACAACAAAATTAACTGCCCAGTTACAATCTTGAATTGCCCGAGAATTAAAGGAGTATTCCCAACAAGGTGGGATCAAAACTCTGTCTCCAAGAATTAAACAGAACAAAGCACTTTTCTCTGAGACAGTTGAAGGTTAGTCAGTCACTCCACCTTGTCACCTAGATTTCACTCAAACAGAGCTGTAGTTACAAAACAACACATTATCAACGCCATGACATAACAGCAAAATGAAGCATCATAAAAGACAAGCAATAAAGACTAAGCCAAAAGAAGATATGACAATGGTGGAGCAGTGATGTTCGACTCAAGGGAAAAGGATAATCTTCACAGAAGTAGTTGAAACATTCAAATACGCATGGATATATTCAATAGACTGTTTATGGCGAAATTTTCAGGTCATATGAAAGGAAAAACGTTTAGTGAAGAGTTACTGTTTTCAGTGAAATCATTTTCAAGCTGTATAATCTCATATTTATAGTAATTTATATTGCAACAAAAAGAATATTTCTGAAGGTGTTCTATTAGAATTGTAGATTTCTGATTACAAATTACGTAATGTAAAAGGCTTTAATTAAAGAGAAAACAAAACAAAATTAAATTAGTTAATTGAGTAACGACTGAGATGTGGCGTGCCTTGCAGTGGAGTAAGTGAGTGAGTGAGTCATCAATGCAGTGACACGATGAGGCTGCATGGAAAGGGAAGTTCATCAACTTGTGGATAGGCAGCTAGAAGCCAGAAACCGTCTGTCAGGTGACTAACTGGCTGGTTGGCTAGCCAACGACTAACCAACTGATTGGTTAGCTAGCTAGTTAGCCAGCATGCTTTATCGCATGATAATACTCTGTCCAAAGACAGACCTAGAAAACAATGAGATCAGTTAACAACGATGGTAATAAGGAGTAGGCGTTGAATAGGGGGTCACAGAACAAAAAAAACAAAAATGAAGTATCCGGTGTTAAGACAGATCAATTTGATTGCAGATTTAGTGACTGAACAAAGCTTTCTGTGTGCAGAGTTCAGAATTTAACATGTGAATTGCTTTTGCTTCTGAGGTTTGAAGAAGTCTGATTCGCATCCTTTTAACAAGGCTCCCGTGTATTCTGCAGATGAACTTGAGTCTGGCTTGTATTCAGGTGTTCTAGGATAGAGCTGTGAAGGATCTTTTATCTTCTTTCTGAAACTAAGAGGGTAAGTGCTCCGTGATATTTTTGGGTAGCAAACGCCGATTATGGCCGACATACCTAGCTCCTTACGAGCAGGTGAATTAAGTTAATTATTCTGCTACAGTACGTAATTTAATAATTAGTAAATTTGAAACATTTAGAGTTTTCTCCTATCCTCTACAGTATCTTTAATGCCACAGGAAATGGAATTAATTGTCGACTGTATAGATTGAATACATCATCTTAAGGTTTTATAAGACTTCAGATTAGTATAGTTGCCTGTGCAGTTATCATTAAGATGAAAAATATTATATTGATGTTGATATTGTGATCAAAATAATGCGCTTTGTGACTGTCATTCTCCAACTAAAGATATTTATAAAACTGCATTACGATTAACGACAGATTTGCAACCCCATTTTAGAAAGCTATCACTAAGGCTTTCATGGGTTTGTAGTTAAGTGGTAAAATGCTCGCATACCACACATACAACCCGGATTCCAATACTTAGCCAGTGCACTCCTAAACCTCGCTAAGCCGGTAGTAAGGCCTGTAGAGAGGGAAGGTTGGGGGTGAGGCTAGCAGTCCCACCCCGTGAAAATAAAGCACTGTTACAGAAAATTCAAAGCTCTAGCTTGAAGTCCTAGGTTCCAATCGGAACGTAAGGGGATAAATTATATAGTGTGGCTGCTAGCCAAAGTTGGCAGACAATCATTTACGCCAAAGTTTATGTCCCAAATGTTGGTCATGAGAACAAAGTCTAACTCAACAACCAATAACAGCAAACTTAGCGTGGGCGGATACGATTCGCAGAAATATCAACGGACTGCATAAGAAACGGCAACAAATAGATGACAGAATAAACTACAGCAGGAAAATAACGAGTCAGAAGACGTCACTCTCTGCTAACAATAAGGAATAATAATGTACGAAAAATCTATAAATATCTGGTGATTTCGTAAATAAACGATCTGTTGCCTGGCCCTTATCTTCTGTTGTTACAATAGTAAAATAAATGCATTCACACTTTCCTTTCTGTTTATATTGTCTATTTTGTTGTACTCAAGATACTCATTGTGTTTCCCAAAAAAATGTTTCGCGAACACAAAATTTACAGCCTCATAAACATACGTGTCTTGGTTTACTTGCATTCCCCTAGGTGAATAGTTTGGTAGCGAAACATTTGTGGTCTTTCTAGGCGACATCTCCAGCACATACTTTCAATAACATTAGAATTTGTTTGACTAGTTTTCTCTTTTATGTCAAACTGACTGATAGATTTCTCAGGTGGCTATCAACTCGTGAATGTAAATATAACAAGGTTTTAAAATACAGTATAATAAAGATATTAAAATAACATATGTTGTATATATTGAAGTGAAAGTTTTGGTCGTGTCAAGAATCTAACCAGTGACATTTGGTCACCTCCACAAAAGTTTAAATTTCAAGTAAACAAAATAATCACACCAGCATAAGTGGACTAAAGAGTGAGAAAGTATCCAGAAACAACCAGTCACGTCTGAGATCACCAAGACTGAGATGGAAGAGAAAGTCGTGGAGAATTCTGAAAGGAGACTTTAAATCGAAGTACATCTTGAAGATGTTGTCTGGGAACACACTGAAAGCGTGGCAAATAAATTTTTCAGCTCACAGAACACAATTACACCAATGTCATACATCTGGCTACAAATCTCTGTCATATCTACATATGCGTATTGTCAAGGAAATTAACCCTAAGTTCCTATTATAAGGAAGATGCTCCAAACCGATAATTACAATGACTTTCTCTAAAACACTAGTACTTTAAGAAAGTTGTATTGTTTGACAGTTAAAGTCTGGATAAGTAAAAGTCTATAAACAAATGTTTCATACAAAATATAATGTACTTTTATTCGTATTCTTTCGTCTTCTTCAAACCTGTACACGACTGAACTATTCGCGCCTTCGAGTTACCCACCAATCACCATCAGTTCCAATAAACAAGCGTTCAATGTTCACGTCCATTGATATGTATATATAAGTGAGAAGACAACAATAGTAATAATAATGCTTTTATTCTGGACTGTGTTTATATAATGTAAAAATTTTCAG